TCATAGTATAAAGCGATCTTTTCTCATTCCCAAGCTGGAATCTGAGTAACAAAAGAGAGCCTGGTCAGTTTGTAGCCTCTCCATTCCTGTTTGGCTGAGATGCTTTTTCCTATAGTCTATTTCTTTCTCCATCCTGGCAGGCCTGACTTTTAATGATCATCTCTGCTGTTTCCTTGATAGACTTCCTCCTGGCTCACTCATCCCATTACCACATGCTGTCATCTCTCCTGAAGTTCAGAGCAGAAAGGAAGAGAGAAATTTTGTAGGAGACACTTTGAATACAACTCTTCTCCCTTCCTTTCTTCTCTGCTCTTAGCCTATCCCTTCCAGCTTCCTTGGCCAGTACCAATCCTCATGCTTTAGACTGCAGCTCCTGGAGACAGGTGCTCTGCTAGCTACAGAGCAGCACCCCAGCTCAGACCCCGGGAGAGCAAGCAGTGTGGAAACTGCAGCTCAAGGATTAGGTGGGCAGTGGACACAGGACCTGGCTAGTGTATCAGGAGAGCTCAGCAAAAGCAGCCCTTTTGCTTCCTGGCCAGCACCTGCCCTGTGCTCCCTTTGGTTGCGTCCTTCTTGGTCTAGACACATATTGTACCATGCAGACCCTGTGCTTGGCTCCTCCGTTAGCTCTTTTGGCAAGATAGATCTTTCTGTTCCTATCAATCCATGGGCATGTGATAGGACTCGATGGAAAGTGAGGTGAAGCTGGTAATTTGACACGACAGCTGATATTGGGCCTTGACTGCATTTCCCACTGGCCAGGGCTCAGCTTCACAGAGCTTTTAAGAGTATTTTTAGTCCCCAGAAAATAAAAGAGAAACTAAACCTGACTCTGTGTGCTGTCGCCTCTGCATACTCGGCTATTTTTACTTCCAACAGTCTCGGCCTGGGTCCAGCTTTTAAAAAAAGATGGAATTATTTTACTTCCATTAAGAAAAAAACCCCAAGGCCTGATGTTATCAAGTCAGTAAGGGGACATCTGATTCCAAAGTTGTCGGGCAGACGTCTCTCCAAGGGGCATGTCAGAGAAATGCAGGGAGCTTGAACGATCAGCAGATCAGCTCTCCCACTGCAGAGGCTTGGTGCTGGCACAGACCTCTCTGCAAGAGTGCTTGGAACACGAGTGGCACCCACAGGACACTTAGAAAACTGACATTCCTGCCCCAGGCAGGATGCTGAGCTGAGAAGTTCTGCACAAGTCCTGGCCTTGCCCTCCTCCCTGCAAGGTCGGAGGGGCCTTGGGCAGGCAGGGGAGCTGAGAGCAAGCTGCCAGCGAGCTGGAACTCAATCCCTGTGGCATACACCAGGCTCAGCTCCATAGCTAGGTCAGATGAGGAGGACTTTCATGCAGGGTCTCTCAAAAGGTAACAAAATTGAATGAACAGCAGCACTTTCTTGCCATACAGGGGAATGGGAGGAGAGGGCATGTTTCCAGAATAGATAGCCTTAATTTAAAGGAACTGCCAGCAAGATAAGTTATCAAGGAGTGGTGCTTTCCAAACTTTGCCCCATACTGTTGATCTCAACTCCTTGCTGACACTAAGAGTGGTCTAGGAGTGACCTAGACCTGTGGTAGTGACATTTTTGTAGGATGAGTGTCTTCTCTCCTTTGAACGGGCCAGTTGTAGTTCATGTGAGCAGGAGCTTTATTCTGCTGCTGTCTTGTGAGGCTGCAGTACCAAATCCTATGTGAGTCTTCAGTATGGACAGCTGAATCTCATGTGTGGCTGCTGCACCTTGCAGTTAATGCTCTGGTGGCTGCATGTGTGGTGTGAAACCTGCCCTTGTGATTACAGCATATATGGCCCTCAGCTTTGCTCTAGCCCTCTCTCTTTTATCTCCTTCCTCCTTACTCCTTACTCCCTACTCCTACTTCTGTCTCACTTCCATTCATATCCCAGTTTACATCCCACTCCATTTCTCTGCTTAGTGTTTTCCTTCATGCTGCTTCTCCAACCTCACCCACCACACCTCCCCACTCCATTTTAATGTCTTTCCTTTAGTGTTCCTCTCAGAGCTGCACTGTAACCAGCCTGCCTATCTTAAAATCAACCACAGAGGAAATCAAGCAGAGCAGCAGGCATTAACCCGAGTACCTAGATACCACGGTACTGATTTTTGGCCGTGCCCTTTCCTTCTGTCTAGGTATGACCCATTAGACTGTCAGATCTTTAGAAAAAGGATTTTACCATGATGCTTATGTCTGGAGTGTCACAGTCAGGGACTCAGAGGGTTGAAATGCTTTTGTTTACTGCAGTACCTGTGGGTCACTGCACTCAGCAGCTGGAGCTGGGATGTGCTGTGTGGGCTCAGCCTGTTCACCAGCTCTGCGGCTGGAGTGATGACAGGGTAGAGTTGTGGCTCTGCAAGTGCTGATTGAAAATGTTTGCCTCAAGGAGTGTCGCACAGGAAGGGGAACAAGAGGAGGACAAACAGTTGTTCAGAATTAACAAGCTGAAGTCCTTGGGCAAACAGACCTCTATCTGCTCGGTGGGGGAAGGAGGGATGGAGGGTAAATCTCTCTGCGTCTTTCTTATCTTTTTTTAATGCACTTAAGTCCCTTGTGTCCTTATAATCTGATTGAGGGTCCCTAATACTGCTGCAACCTGTGCAGCCATCCCTCTGCCAAGCACTGGAGGATGGCATTCACCTTGGAAGGAGGAAACAGGCTCCTTCTCCCATTTCCTCCCTATTCCTCCTAGTTCCCCCTCCCTGCTGCTTAGCAAACTGCACAGCAAAAGCATCCTGGAGGGCTGTGTGCTGGTTTCTGCCAGCTGAGAATGGCATCTCCTTCTTTCCCTCCCCCTGACCACTGATGGGAGGGACTGCACCCACCTATGATCCTTATGTGGGAAAGTCCTGGGAAGATGTGAATCAGTCCTGAAGTCTTGGCAGCCTGTTCTGTATCCCCCTATTATCTTCCAACAGTGTATTCCTGACCCTTTTAATTTTCGTATCTGGTTGTTTGGTTTACTGGCAGTTCCAGAAATTTGTGTCCCTTCCTTCTCTCCTGGCTTATATTATGGGCTTATATTATAGGCAGGTGTCATTCATTCCGCAAAGCATGGAATAGAGTCTTATTTCTTAAGAAACCAGGGCACATTTATAGAGAGAAAGAAATCATGGACAGAAATGAAAATTTCCTACTTCATCCAGGATTTTATTACTGCTGTTCCTCAGGGACCTCCCTAGATAACCTCAGGTTTGGGATTCCCCAGCTGTCCTTTTAAAAGTTGCTCTCTGAAGTGTGTTTGGACTCCCAGGAAGGAGTCTTGCCCACAGGCTACCTGCCACTGGAAATGGAAGCAAAGAGGCAATAGGCATCATTTTCAGAAACAATACCTACCATGTGATGGAAAAGGAAGGTGGTACTTAGGGATGTCACTGAATTCTCTATACAGAGTAAGAAGAAATAGAAAATGGAACGGGGGAAAGAAATTACTCAGTGTGACCTGAGTTCACCTATATCAGCTTCATACCTTTCTCTTAATCTTCAGCATCTGCTGTGCTCCCATAGCAGCCACCCGCAGTAGCAGTTCCCTTGCTCTGCAGGTCTCCACGCCTGCTCATTCCTGCTCCTGCTCAGTGGGAGACTGCTGCAACTGAGTGTGGCCTGCTATTCTTGCTGCTTATGGGCAGTTGATAGTCAAATTGCTTTGGTGCTCTAGCCATGAAGAGTATTTGGATCTAAATGTTGCAAGTAGTGGTTTCAGGTGGTGCAGGTGTGGCTGGTGTGAGCATTACAGTAAAAGCTTTCTCTTTTCCCTGACAGAGTAAGCAAACACGGCGTTGAAATGCAATGTGACAGACATGCCTCCTTCTAGGGCAGAATATTTGCCAGCTGACTGCAGATTTTTTCAGGTGTACAGGTTGTTGAAAATGTGTCACTTCAAAACTGATGTGGAGTGTTTGCTTTTAGTTGTTTGTGTTTATGTAGCAGTACAATTGCAAAATATTAATGACTTAATGTGATTAGTAAGTGTATCACATAATTGTTTCCCATGATCAGACTAGGTGAACTCCTGTGTGTTTTTAAGGAAGTACTTGTATAGTGTAAATTCAAAACTTTATTCTAATCAAATGCTCCTACATTTACCTTGAAAGATTATTTTTTTTCCAAAACTGTTTCTCCCAGCAAGACTAAGTTATTCCAGTTTCACAGACTGATTATCAGAGTCCATATGGCTGCTCAGAAATAAAAGACAACTGCATAAATATCTGTGGGGTTTTTTTCACAGTTTCTTTTTAATATTGTATTTTGTACTAATAAGACAACTTAGTTGCTGTTCTTGGTCTGTTGATGATGCTATGGTTTTTTGCATGCAGTACTTCTCAGTCACTCGGAATTTTTTTCAGAGTGCTGTTTCCAATTTGCTTCACTGCATTTTGAAAGTGCTGCAACAAATTCTTCAGTGTCTCCCTACTTCATCTTTATCATTGCTTTATTGTAGTCAAGGTTGTTTCTATTTATTTGGATTCTACTTTTATTACAGTTGCCTTACTTGATCAAGGCTGAAACATCTTTGTTGAATTCATAGTTCATTATCTGTTTGCTATAGGTCACTTTTTTCAAATATAAACAGTGAGAGGTCACAGAACATTTAACTTCTCATTTTTAAGAACAATCTAAGAGTTTATTTTTATAACTGCAAGTTTGATTGACATTTCAAGTCTTTCTTTTTAAAAGCAGGATCATGTAGAGGACATTGAGGTCTGAAGCTTTTCATCTGCCCATCAGATTTATGGTGATTCAAGAGCTGAACGGGTTAATTTCTGTCTTCATTAATGTTTTGAATAAAAGTAAAGCTCAGAGCAGCATGCATAGAGCTGGAGGCAGTCTAGCTGGTATTCAGATTGATTGGTTCAGCTGAGATCTCAAGAGTTTGGGAGAAGGAAGCTCTCTGGAGTGTGGGGAACATCTTAGGAAATTTTAGTATTTGCATGTCAAGGTTTTATAAAGCACTAAGGAACATGAGGACTTTTTTTGGTTTTACCTGCAGGTGTTCGTCTGGATCGAGTCCGTGGAGGCCGTCAGAAATACAAAAGGAGACTGGATTCTGAGAGCAGCACTTACCTGAGCTTACAGATCCCTCCCCCAGCTAAAAAGCCATGTATGTATTGGTCTTGAATTGTGGTTCTTGGAGCTGCCACTGTATTTCTTTTCACTGGTCTCCCAAAAGTACAGTGTAAAGTGTAGCAATTGTCACTTCCTATTCCTGTATCAGCCAACACCACTGGAATTTTTTCTTATGATCCTAGTGTAGATGTAATTACACAGGCCTAGGTACAGCTCAGGTACTGTATTCATTGTACCTAGGGTTTGATACCAGACCTTTCCTAAGAGATTATATAAATCCATTTAGTTATATTCTGATATTTTCCTTTACCCAAGCCATGTTGACAAAACCAGTCCCATGATGATTTCTCTCTTCAATACTACCCATAGCTCTTTATACTTTTCCACATCCCACCAACTTTTTGCCTCCTTCTCCCCTCACTGAACCTAGCTGAGACAATGACTGACAACATTACAGCAGCTTCCTGCTTTTGTCATCCCTGTGCAGGGCTGGTTCGGCACAGGCAGATCACTACAGCTTGTGTAGCTGCAGTGTGGTTTTCTGTTGTGACTAAAACCATTACTGAGGTTCTAAGGGCTCTATAGTCATGTCTTATCCCAGGAGGGTTCACCTTATGTCACAAGAGATACAACAACTTCTCCTTTGAAATGTGCAGTGACTAAGATCGTGTCCCACTTGCTGGTGGCTGAGCCAGAGAAGATTTATGCCATGCCTGATCCAACCATGCCGGAGAGTGACATCAAAGCCCTGACAACCCTCTGTGACCTGGCAGACAGGGAACTGGTGGTGATCATTGGCTGGGCAAAGCACATCCCAGGTAAATGGGGAATTACAAGGGTGTGAGCATGAACAGCAAAGGGAGCTATTTATCTCTGTGCTTATCAGTTTTTGCCTCAACCAGGGCTTTTTCCTATTGTGATGGGTGAAAAGTACTGTTACAAAAAACTGCTAGTGATGGGCTCTCACTGGTAACAAACTCCAGTGCAGCCTATGATGGAGGTGCATAAATTGATCACTGTATGTGTGTGTGCTCTGGGATTATGCAGAAGGCTTTGATATGATGCAATGAAGTTCTCTGTCATATCTAGCATTGAGTGGCCCAGTGAAAGCACTTGGGAAACAGCCTTAGGGATGGTATGGTGGACTTTCATGGTTTTGTACTACATCAACGTGACCTAGGTCTGTTGTGCTTATAGATGAATAAATATTATGGCAGTGACTGGACTTTATTGCTAGTAACAAAGCAGATACACACCCCCTCAGCAGTGGGCATTCTTGTCCATACTCAGGAAAGCTTGTCATAATGAATCTGTCACAGAACAAATCTCATTGCAATAGTCGATGTGCTATTGCCAGTGAATCTCAAGGCTTCTTTGCTGACAAATAATGAGGACAACTTATTGGCAGTGTGACTGGCCTTGGAAGGTTCACTGACTGTATGCATATGGATTGAGTGACATAACAAGTGTCCCACACCTGCAGGTGGGGTGACCGAGGCTGAAGGAGCAGATATGGCCCTCAGTGTTGAGTTCTGGGTTCTTCCCAGATTTGGACTGGGAAGGGAAAATGCTCCCCTCTCTCTAGTCTCTCTCCAGCTTCACCAGAAATATATAGGTTGGATTAGTGTGTGGAGAAGGCTCACCAGGGAACTTAGAGGATATCCTTGGGATTTGCAAGGCTGCTTTACAAAGATTGCTTCAGATATTCACTATGAACAGCTCACTTCAGCAATCTCCTGCCTTCTGTTCCCCTTCCTTTTGCCAGGAGAATATATGTGGTTCTGATACAGGACTAACTGCATGCTGTGTCTTCCACTGCATGGGTCTGTATTGTTTTGCTTTGCTTCTTGGCTTTAAGTTCTTAATTTTTTTGATGAATAATCTTAACATAACTGATCAGACTAGTTTTCTCATGTATTTTGTTTCTTTCTGTTGCTCCTGTTTTGGCTTTTTGGTAGCTGCTCCTCTTTTTCTGTAGGGTGTTTTGGACCCAAGAGTTAGTGGTTTTCTGGGCTATATGGAATATGGATTGTTACAAGATGAGACTATGAAGTCTAAAGAAACTTTTCGAGAAACTTTTTTTCGATTTCTGAGAAGAGGTTAATTTGGTGGTGCCCTTCTTACAGGAGATCTGCCATATCTGCAGGGATTATACCCATCACTAGTGCTGGAATCCATCTGGGGCTGATTCATCACAAGTGGGGTTACAGTGGTGATTAGAGAACTCAGCCTGGATTGCTCTACTAACCCAGTACTTGGAGTGTTAACAGGAATGGTTTTAATGCAATGCAATTAGCTGCTATGGCTGTCCAGTGAGGTGCTGTTCTACATCCTCTAACCTTGGCTATTTCTGTTCACACAGAGCGCCCGGCTGTAGTTCCCTACTTGTGGCTGTGGGATGTGCTGAGTTCCTACAGAGCTTTCCATCCTGGCAATACTTTCCCAGAAAAGGAGCATAGCAGAGATTGCTCCTGCACTGTGAAAGGGGCTCTTCCTCTCCTTTTTGAAATCAGGACATACCTGCCATCATCTCAGATTTCTCTGTGTATTTTCCTATCCTATCAAAGGCCCTACAATACAATAACAGCCTTAGTAATCAGCCTAGCACAGTTCAGACCAGCAGCACTATTTTATAACTAGACTGTGCACAGGCAAGAGCTCAAGAATTGATACATAAGAGAGCAGTACTGAGAGAAAAAAAGATAATAAAAGATAGTTCATAATAATGGAACAAAACCTCTGTAATTCTGCAACAAGTATGAAACATACTGAGTTATGCAGCAAGGGGGCAGAGCAGGGCAGGAGCCTGCCAGGTGTCTAAATTATCTATGCCCTGTATTTTTGCCTTCCAAGGATTTTGAGCAAAACATGACATTGCTTCCTGTGTGTATAAACTCATGGTCAGAGAAGGATGGAGAAAGGAGAAAAAGTCACATATTCTTGATTTGTGTTCACACTGGAATTAGTAAAGAAAGATGTGACAAAGTCATACCAACCCTGGAGGATCCCAGGTGCCAACACAAACTTCTACCCCACAGTATTAGTAAATAAAATCAGTAAAACTTAAACACACTTTCCTGTGATAACAATAAAACATAGTTTAATTTGGTTTAGCAAATATTATTAGCTCAATAGCTTATTAGCCATGAGCTCAAAAGCCACACTTAGCCAATGTGGGGTTGTTCCCTTCTGTATGAGTCTCCCTCCCCACTACTCACTCTCCCCCCAAGGAAATTGTCTTGGAACAACATCCACCTTTTCTTCTTGCTTTGATGCAGGGTGACAAGACTTCTCTTGAAGGGTGACGATGAAGGCTCTCCCAGGGTAGCTGTTGTGCTGTTCTCACCAGGAAGACATTAGTACTAGCACAGAATGAAATATGGCAAGTGGAGTGACAGCAGCTGTGTCTGGAGTGGCCTCAGATCCTATAATTACATCTCCTTTTATTACCTCTGCTAATGGCCCTCCAGGATGACAGAAATGATAATAAATTAACAGATTATGAACTCCACTTGCCACAAATTATGTGACTTTTTTTTTTTTTAAATTCTGTGAGCTCCCACTGCCAAACCACTGAAATAATAATAAAAAAACCCCAAAATTAAAAAAAAACCAACAACCTGAATGTCACATCAAATTGTCACATTGCAAATAAAGCAGCTTTTCTCAAGGTGCACCTGGGAAGGAAGGAAACATTCATTCAGCTCTGTGCTAGAGCCAGAGGCTTCTCTTTTGTGGCAGTGGTGGATTTGCCACCTTTCAGGGTCAGACTTGAGAAAAGCAGCAAGAAACGGATCACTAAGGGCATTTTCTGGATGCTGGGCCTTCAGCAGCTCAAGAATGCAGAGCAGTTGTATTCTAGTAATTCCTGGGTGCTGTAAAATGACAGAAAATTTCACAACTAGAGGTTCCCCACTGTATAATAAATAGCAAGCCGGTGATTTTGACTGTGATTAACATTTACTTTTCCTGATTTCAACTCTTATAACATGAGAGAGTTATGCTTCCCCTCTACTGCAATGATTCAAGGACAGTCCTTTTAGCCCTTGCACTCCACATGTGTGAACACTGGAGGAAAAGGGTCCCAGTTCTGTCAGACATTTCAAGTCCAGGCTTGACAGCATAGTGCTCCCTCTTCCCACTCACCTGCTGAAGCTGGAATTGTTGGCTACTTGGGAGTGCTTTTGGCCAGGGGCATTCCCAGGTGGGTGGGGCAAGTGCAGCTGGCTCTTCTGTTCTTCTTGGCAAAGGGTAAAGTACTCTGTCTCCTGATCTTACCTGCCACAACAGCCTCTGGGACAGGGCAATTGATAGAGCTGCTGTGTTCAGGCTACTTCTAGAGTTAAATCGATTTTTCTACTTTATTCTGTAGCAGAAAAGTATGAGCCATGCCTCTCCTGGATCCTCTCACTCTACTATGTGACTGTGTCTCAATCTTTAAGAGGTGTTGTTGGCAGACTGCAGTGAGGCAATGGCCTAAAGCCTTTTGTAATCCAGTTGGGGAATGAAGCTGCAGAAAGAGCATGTGACTGGTCCAGAAAATGGACTTAAGGCAGCAGCCTAAACGCTGGACTTACCTCCATGGTCAGAGCTAGGTGAGGGGTGACCAAAGGAGAGCTCTCAAGTTCTAAAGAGTGGCTTTGCACCTCTGATCTCAGGGCTAACCTCATCAGTTCCATGTTCAGCAGGCAGAGCTGTGGAGACAGGATCCGAAGCACTGGAGCTGCAGCAGCCTGCACTTGGACTGTCAGGAGGGCTGCATTCCAGAGCAGCACAGTTCTGAGAGCAGGGCAGAAGGGTGAGATAAAGGACAAGGCACCCACCTCTTTGCCCAAGCAAGAGGTGGGATTCATCAGGGCTGTGTGGAGCACAGGCTGTGCTGTACAGGAATCAGTCTCACAGTCACGGAGCTGGATTTGCAGCTCTTCTCCCCAGTAGCCTGGACTCCTCTTTAGCTGTTCCCTCTGGCACTCCTCCCCAGTGGTGTATTGATTCTTCCCTCCCACCCACTGCTCCCCTCAGACCTTGCACACACAGCACGTGACAGCTGATTGGTATCTGTTAATTAATGTGGCCTGGGGCCTCTTTTCTATTCAGTGGCCTGATAAGGGAAATTGGATGTCCAAGGGCTGCCAGGCCATTATCACCCTTTGCTTCCCCTGGCAACACAAACACAAAACATGGCGTAGAGATAAATAAATACCACTAACCCACCCTTCTGCCTTCCCTTCCCCAGCTGAGATAGTGCAGATAGAAAAAGAGATCCCACAGTCAGTCAATATAGTAATCATCAGCTCTTTTGTTAATTGCCAACTTGATAACAAGAGAAATCAAATGATCATCATGGTGGCTGTCTACATCAGCCCCGATGTGGGGCCAAGAGCTGTGAGCAGGGTGGGGTGTGGGATAAGGAAGTCCAGCTGAGCCAGGCAAGCTGGGAGGCTTCTGCATAGAGGCTCATGAGTTCACAGGTCTCTTGGTGATCCCCAAGGCTTCATAAGCACCTGGGGAGAAAACTGCCTGGAGAGGCTAGTGGAGCATCACCCTCCCAGCTGAGGCATGCCAGGGTGTCCCATTCTTTCACAGCTCTAGGAACCTTTAGAAGCAAGAGGCTGCCAAAAAAGTGCAATTTCTGCATGTCCATGGTGGGCAAAAGCTGCCTAGAGAGGACCAACACACTGTGCTTGACATTCCTGTTTGTAATGACTGTTAGTGTGCCCATCTCTCAGGATCTTTCATGGTCTTTCATGGTCTGGCTGCCAAGGGTACCAGGTATGGAGGGCATAACAGACAGTTTTACTTCCCATGCCCTTTTTCCCTGCCTTGAAGTGGACCTTACCTATTTTTTTTTGTCCTCTCCACTTTCTCAAGTGGACTCTGGGGCTGTCAGGGTATATCTTTGCTCTTTCTGTATCTGGTAAGAATATTTGGTTCATTGTGGGGGCTGGTTCCATTGCTACTAGGTTTGGCTCTGATTTAGGTACTTCTATGGCACAACAAAGGTATTTTTATCTCTGGGTGGGGTTGTAGGCAGAGCTGCTGGTATGGAGATCAGAGTGTGATGAGGAATAGGAGGATTCTGATCACAAATGTATTCATTTTTGAACACTTTGGTGCTCTGTTGTGGCAGGACTTTTTCTCACCCTTGCCAAAATGTGAGATTGTCGTATACTTGTAATTCAGGGCTGTGTCATTCCCTCCTGTTCCATCAGAAGCCCTCTCTTCTGCCATCTGGAGCTCTTCTCTGTTCACTTTTCAGCTAGGACAGACTAAATAGGCTGCAATACAGACCAACAGAGGAAGAGAGGGGAGGCAATGTGGTACAAAAGAGCTGCTGCTATGAAAGAGGCAGTGGTCATTGAAAAGAGGTTGTCACCAACCTTGGGCTCCCATAAATGCAGTCAGAACATCAGAACTCCTGTTTGAGGCTGTGGGTGGGCATAGGAGCAAAGGGAAGGGTAAGGTCTGTGTGTGCTGATTGCCACAGAGACAGGGTCACTTTAGTGAGTTTTTTTGTTTTTTTTTTTAAAGCAGCAGGCCAGTAGAAAGAGTGATGGTTTGGATCTCAGGGAAACTAAAGACCTAGAGGCTTTGCTGCACACCCATTTGACCCTGCTTGTCTTCTGCCCTGTTAGGGTTCTCCAACCTCTCCCTTGGAGACCAGATGAGCCTTCTGCAGAGTGCCTGGATGGAAATTCTCATCCTGGGCATTGTGTACCGCTCCCTGCCATATGAGGACAAGCTGGTCTATGCTGAGGATTACATAATGGATGAAGAGCACTCTCGCCTGACAGGGCTGCTGGAGCTCTACCTGGCCATCCTACAACTGGTGCGCCGCTATAAGAAGCTCAAAGTGGAAAAGGAGGAGTTTGTCACGCTCAAAGCTCTGGCCCTCGCCAACTCAGGTACAGCCCTGGCCCAACCAGTCATGCAACCAGCCAGTCAAGGCTCATGCTGTTATTTGACCTGGGAGGAGACTAGAGCCTACTGCCTAAGAATCTCTGCCTGTGTCATGCAACATTCACAAAGCTCTGCTCAAAGCTGGAAAATAGGGAGAAATGAGGCTTACTGCTTACTTAGCTGTGCTCTGACCCTGTAGTAGGGAGTGGAACAGAAAGGGATGGACTGATTGCTGGTTTCAAGCAGTCAGAAGGTCTGTGGAGGCCTTTTCCACTAGCAAGCTGACTCCAGTGCCATGAACTCAGAAAAGGGATGTGGGCCACACTTGTATCACCTCAGTAGTGTTGGTTAGACACAGCAAACAGGGAAACTCTCGTCCCAGTCTCAAAAAGCTGTGGTGTTGGGACTGCCTGGCCCTGTCCTGGAGATGTTGAGGTACCAGAGACACTGAACCCCCCTTTAACTGGGAGACAGTGTGGATGTAGATTGCAGCCCTCAATCCAGCAGGCTGCATTGTATCAAAGCCAGCCAGACACGGATTTGTAGGGCTCCCTCTACATCCCCTGAGTCTCATTGTCTCACATCAGGTCTCTTTGCCAAATTTATATCATGCAGGTCACAGAATTCACCTTTGCAGTCCAGCTGGGAAACCAGTATCTGTTTTTGACTAAAGGCACTTTACAGAAAAACACCCAGTGTGAAGCTGGAAGGATTAAAAGAGGGGGAATCTTCATCTTGTTTGGCAGCTGACTCTAATAATCATTCTCTCAGTTTAAAAAAACAAAACAAAAGGCACCATATCTTAATGTCTGTTTGCCTGAGTTCAGCTTCGAAAGAATGATCTTTGTTGAGCTGTGTCCTATGACTCTGGGTCTTTTTATACCTGACAGCTTGACACGATAAACTTCCTGTTCCATAGTTGTGTTCCGTGGCTATGGATATATTACTTCAAGTGTAAGCACGTGGCCCGGGATTCTGTGAGGCTGCCTAACCATTTTACACCATTCTGTCCCTGTCTGCCATTCACCCACCCCTCAGCAGTAGCAATTTAAAAAAAAAATCCTTACAGCTCATTGATAAAAATGTTGAGTAGCAGCTGGTATTTTTAGTGATCCCTGTGGATTTCCATGAGAAAACTCCTTCTTCAGGGATGATTCACCACTGATAGCTACTGTGAGATCTGTCATCTAGCCAGTTACTAATCAATTGAAAGTGTTCTTTATTGATATTGCATAGTGCTAATTTTTTAATGAGAATGTCCTGTGGTCCTAAGCCTTATAAAGCCTTATAAAAACCTAAGTCTATTATATCTGTGCAGTTAACTTTATCAAGCAAACTTGTAATCTCATCAGAGAATGAAATGAAGTTTGTTTGACAAGACCTCTCTTCCCAAGTTGACTGGCAGTAAAATCACAGAATCATTTATGATGGAAAAAACTTTTAAGATCACCACTTCCAACTATTAACCCAGCACTGCCAAGTCCAACACAAAACCATGTCCCAAAGTGCAACATTTGCATGTCTTATAAATACCATCCTATTAGACTTAATTGAATGTCACCTTTAGTTTTTCCTTTATTTTTGCCCTGGCTCACATGAGGCTAGCATAGAAATTACCAGATATGACTTAGGAAAATATGTGCATCATTAGAATATTTCCAGTCATCTTGAATTTCTTAAAAATACCAAGACTCATTAATCTGCCCTAGATGACCCTCAGCCAGCATTTTTAGTACTCCTAAAGCCAAGTTATCCAGCTCTGCTGATTTCTGTGAAGTTTGTCCTAATAGTACTAATATCTTCTTGCACAAACAGACTATGAAGTCTTCATCATCCTCATATAACACAGCTATATAAATATAAATTCTCTTTTCTAAATAAGACAGAAGTACTTACAGAGGACTTCTATCTACTCTGCACTGCTATTAACAGGTTAATCATCTCCAGATGAAAAGAGCCCCCCTACAAATGATCATTTTTCTTCTATTCCTTAAATATTTATAAAACTTCTTTACTGTCCTTAGCCCTTCTAGCCATGGCTTTTCTTCCTATGTCCTTCATTTCCCTTATCGTTTTTCTGCGCTTCATAACTTTGTTCCATTTTACAATTTCTCATATATTGCTATTTTAGTTTTAATTGCTGCCTTCACTTTGCCACTGAACCAGGATGGGCAGATGGCCAAGGCTAGCCTCTCTCTGTGCAGTGGTGGCTATGGGTGATGTAATCTACTTGCTAATGAACCTGTCTACCTGGAGGGTCACAGGATTAAAAAGGGAGAAGGCTCCTCAGAGAGGCTGAAGTGCTAAGGTAGCAGTTGTGACAGGAGAAGTGCCACACTGGGACATTCACTTGGCCCATGCTGTGGACACTGCTGTCAAGTTCTTCACAGTGCAACAGAAGCACTCTCTGCTGTTGTTGCTTACTGTGCTTTCAGGACTAAGCCCAGAGTAAACCTTATGAGGCAGTCTCCACAGGAGTGGAGTAACACTGAACAGAGAGCAGAACAACCAACATTCATCAGATGCTTTGGGGTTCCATTTCCAGTGCTGTGGAGCAAAGATACCAAGGTAAGGGTCAGGAGGCACAGGCCAAAGCATGTTCTCAGCTGGATGGAAAAAAATCACTCTGACTTCACTGGTTTCTCCTAGTGCAGCTAGAAGTGTAGCTATGTAGGAGCATAATCCACAAAAGTCCTGCTTTGTTATTTGTATTAAATCATATGAAAGTAAAGCATGGAATTTTGTTTTTCATGTAATTAAAGCTTCTCACAACACACAGGTAAGGAAGCTGGAATAAGGCAGGTGTATTTTTCTGTAGTAACTTAACATTGAACCTTCACATTCTTTTAATGCTGGTTATTTTTATTAGTATATTTTTGACAGGCATAAACTTACAGAACCTGCATGTATGTGCTTGCATGCAAACAGCCAGTTCCTAAAATGAGAGGAAAGAAGTTTGGGCTGGGCTTTAGCTCCTTTGGATCAGAGAAAGGGCTTAAAGATGAACACCTAGATTAGCATCTGTGCTACCTAAACCTGTTTCTGCCTTCCCTCCCCTATAGATAAATTCTGGGTGCAATTGCTCATGCAGACCTGTGTATACTTTGGTTTAGGCTAGACCCTTTGGTTCTAAGAATTCAAGCAAATGAAAATAGAAGTGGGAGCTCACTCACTCTTTACTAGAGAAGAAGCTGACAGTAGGCTGATCTCTGAGTCCTTGGTGTGAAACACCAACAACACACCTGCTGGGATTGGCTAAGATAATTCAAGGAAATTCTGCTGAGGGATGAATTCTGAATTCCCAGAGCAGGACCCAAGTCCCAAACAATATGATCACCCATTTTTTGATAGAATAGGGGTGCTGCAGACTTAATTTGTTACCCTTCAGAGTCAGCAGTGCATTTTTAAGCATTCCTAAGTTCTCTTTCCTTAGGAATAAAAATTGAGCAACCTATGTATTAAGTAGCCCTTAGGTTAGCATACAGCACACATTCATTTTAGGACATTCCAGTGTGGACAAAATTTATTTCCCCCTTTTTTTTCCTGCAATGCATTTTAATGCTAAGATGGAGTGAGCAATGTCTAGATCTGGAAAAGGGATGCATAACAAATTCTGTACTAATGGGTCCTGTGAGGTTCCCATTCCCATCAGAAGCTGCAAGAACAGTTAGGTGAGGAAGCATCCATTCTCACACCTGCTCTATACCCCATGCCAGCCCTACCAGAGAAGGGCTGCTGGTATGAAGCCCAGCTTCTAGGCCAGCTGACCCTCAGGGACATGGTCAGGCAGCCTGCCCCCACCTCAGTGCTCTGATAGCTGTAAAAATTCATAGCTATTGATTTCGTAATTAACAGTTTATCAATGCCATCGACACCAGTTCACTGATGGATTGCAAGGAAATTAATCCTGCAATGTTGTTTTATTTTTTGCAGTCAGCTGCCAATTTTGAGCTTCTTTCAGCCGCGTGTGGTGGGGGTGGGGCAGGCTTTGATCTTTATTCCCCCAGTCTCTTCACTGTATACGCTAAGTTATTTAGTGCTGTTAATTCTTGTCACCTTACAGAAGGCAGGTAGCAGAAGGGCAGTTTTGGGATTCTGTCTAGTGTACAGCAGCATCAGTACCCAAAGGCAGAGCACCTACTTGGCCCCGAAGCATGGCTCATTGCACGGTAATTCTAGCACTCCCTGGGATCTGCAAACTCTGACAGGCTGTGATTACTTCTCCCCTTTGTGCCCCTAGCCAGAAGGACATTAAGCAGAAAGGATAGAGGACACTCCGGCTTTTGATACTTCCAGTCTTCAAAATGACCTCTGCGACTTGGCAGGAAACAGATCCCACTCACTTCTCTTGGATTGTGTATGGAAATTTTTCAGAGGTGCTGCCTGGCTGGGAGAAGTTGCCAGACTGACTTGGCAACATGCTTCTTCCCCTCTTCTTTCCAGAATCAACCTCTGTGTCTAGCTCAGGTCAGTGTGATGACCTAGCAGCCCTCTTCTGAGCTTCTTTGCCTGGTCTCTTGGATAAAAAGTATAAAATGCATCAAGAATCATTCTTCAGTAGGCTTCTTAGGAATACTTCCCTTTAATACCTTCTTAATTAGTGCATTCCTTCTAAACAGCTTCTTAAACAGCTTTCTTGCTAGACATAATATTTTCCCAACTGTTGTAATACTTTATAAATCATGCATCATAAATAGCATTTTTACCACAAATATCTTACAAAATTCACAGTCTCTAATTTGTGTTGTGCTCTCCATAAAGATGACACATGTTTCTAGAGAGATTTTGGCACTTCAGTCAGCTTCCCTCCCCTTCACTGCTGTCACTCTGGAGAACCCATGTCCTCACATTTGTGTTTGTGCGTAGGCTGAGCCAGAGCACTGCCACACTGCAAAGCCCAGGCTGTGATGGCAGGCGGTGCAACTACGTGTGTGCATGTGTGCTTGCCACACTGTCTCTCTTTGCCATTGCTTCTGGATCTGTTGCCTTGTGGCAGGAATCTTTATCAGTAGGTTCAGTATTAAGTCTCTGAACAATGAAGACAAGGCATCTGTGTCTCCAGTTCTGTCATGGTTTTGTAAGAAAGAAGCACATATCAGCAAGATGAAAAAGGAGAAAACCTTTGGTGATGCTGTGCCTCTCTGCTCTTCAGTGCTGCCCTCTGACACCATGATTTACCCACAAGTTTAGCAGTCTGTTTAAGCTGGCTCCCTATCTCAGCTCTGGACTGGGTCCTTACCAGCTAGCTACCTTTGCTTCACAGACTCTCCAGGGAGCCTTGCAAACCCTGCTAGCCCCTCCAACAGCTCATAGAAATCTAACAGGCAGCCTAAGGGAAGAAGCCTTGCAGGAGCCATAGGTTTCCTTTATTTCAGCAGGAAGCTCCTTGAGCAGCTGCTGGCGGTCTCTGAAAACAGGGCCATATGCACAAAGGTGGGTCTGGAAACACCCCTGGGCACGCTGGTTGTGACCTACTGGGGCTTTTCTGTCTTGCTGACACCCTTAGCAGCTGCACGGCAATTAGGCAGTTTAGACAGATGAAGCGCTATAGCAGCGTTAATTATTCTTAATGAGATTGCTCCCAAGCGGCAGCACAGCAGCTGCTGCCCCTTGCAGGGTGACTCTCCCCGTAAGGAGCACAGAGGGCAAGTGAAAGTGCAGATCACAAAGGCCCCTGCCTGACCCCTGCGTTGCATTGGGGTGGCTGGCAAAATGGGCAGCACACAGGGCACGTGTGGCACCCAGCTAGCCTTGGCAACCTTTACTGTCCCTGCACTGCTAGGGCCAACACGCTGGGCTGCTGCCACGCTTCATGCAGCAGCACCACACCTGCCAGCAAGCTGGTTTTTTCTGCTTAAGAAACAAACCAAACAGCACCCCTCACCCCCTGCCCTGGGTTGTGGGGGTGGAGTGGGGGTAACAAAAACAACAACAACAAAAAAATCCCCACAAGAACAGATAAGAAGGAAAGAAAGCATCATTAGCTTCAGAAACATAAAGGATTTCCTTTCTCATGTGTGACTCGTCTGCTGTCTTTTCTCCCTCACCCCAGACTCCATGCACATAGAGGACATGGATGCAGTGCAGAAACTCCAGGACCTTCTCCACGAAGCCCTGCAGGACTACGAGCTGAGTCAGCGCAATGAGGAGCCCCGGCGAGCAGGCAAGCTGCTCCTGACCTTGCCTCTCCTGCGGCAGACGGCTGCTAAAGCTGTGCAGCACTTCTACAGCATCAAACTGCAGGGCAAGGTTCCCATGCATAAACTCTTCCTAGAAATGCTAGAGGCAAAGGTCTGACAGCCCCAGCACCAGCTGACAGTGGCCGGGGAACAAACTAGAAACAAAGATGCAGACAACGGAGCAATCCAAACAGCAGCAGCAGCCACCGCCGGCTTTTATCTCCAATCATTTATTATGGAAGAATTATTTAATGTCTATCTGTCGGCGTGACTGCAGAATCTTGTGTACAGGAGGGGGGAAACTTTTAATCAGTCACCTGTTTCTCTTTTTTTTTGTTGTTTTCTCTGTGGGAAATACCAGATTATGCTCTTGCACTTGTTGAGGCATCACTGGGGCTCAGCCCCTCTGATCAGTGATGCTCTCAGCGCTGTCCAGGCTGCCTGTTCCCCAGCTCCCTCGGCCAGTTCTGGAGGGGGAGTGGGGACAGAAGCAGGAAGAGAGGAAGAATAGAGTCAATATAAACTTTATCTGCTGGTGTTACGAGGGGTCAGTTAGAAAAGGAAGCAGCCACGGTCCTTCTTTTTGTCACCTTTCTGCCTCTTACTATAGAGTAGATGCTCCTTTGGAGAACAATGCTGCTGGACCTCTCCTGAACAAACAGGCTGCCTCCCAGACTCCTCTAACACTTGTACATACAGGCCCCACTTCTTACTGGGAAAGATGCTCCTAACTGTGTAAGATATTCTGCGACCTTGTACAGTGTGTCATTACGCCTGGCTAGTCCCTCCCATGTACAATCAATCCCCGCAGGCCCCCGAAGAGGTAGGATGTATGTCCCTGAGAAAATGCGAGTCGTTCCCAAATGGCAAGAGAAAAGAGCCTGATGTTATGCTTCAGTGCTGGGTTGACTTGATAATCTCTGCATCCTCTCCTATGTGGTGCTAACTACAATTCTTCCACACTTTTCACCCCATAGTGTATCACACCTGCCTCTTCAGCTCAGCTGAGTGCCATTCCCCACCTGTTCCTTGTGGCAGATAACACAAGGCTTTTTCTGCATGGTTATTGCCCAAGTATAAATACACCCCAAACCAGATCTTTCCTAGACTTCATTAGAGCTCTTTGGCTCCACAGAGACTTTAGGCTTATTGCCAAATTCTAGTTAGGAATCAAGGGCACTGCTTTTCAGAGGAGGCAGCTCTAGAGCCTGAGAGATTGCTTTCTTGTGGCAGCCTAGGGAAATAAATTAGAGGATGGCATGAAACCCCTGATACTCCAACTACTGTCTTCCCCTGCCTCATCCCATTATCCTCAACAGCAGGAAAAGAGCTAGCATAGATTATACCTGGGGCTGGTATGAGGTTCTCTTGCTGATCAGAAAGCAAATACCTGACCTTGAGGTGGCAGGAGAAGAACAGGGGGAAATGTTTATTTACTCCTCTTATGTAACCAGGTTCCTTCTGTCTCCAAGCCCTGGTTTAGATCTGCTGCCTAAGCCATGACCGCTGCATTCCCAGTAGCCAGAGGGGAATGTAGGTGACTGACAAAACTGACTATTGGTGTTCTCTGAAACTTTATTTTCTAGGTCACTTAATTTTAAGTCATCCTGAGCTGATGAAACCTGAGCGTATTGTCTTCTTTTTGTGGTCAGCAGCAGAGGTGAGAAAAAACCTCTGATCTACATTTGAGACACTACTAACTATTGCCTCTGTTCTCCACCCCTTCCTGGCTTCCCCAGGAGAAAGGTGGTGTGTCAGAGGAGTAGCTTGCCCTCAGGAGTAAGTCTTCCAACCCAGGGTTGAGGTGAGTGATCAGAGACACTGGCTGCTTTTCTGCTGGAGCAGAATGTGTCCCAGCAGGGCTGTCAGTACTGCAGGACCCTGTCTTGGCAGGCTCAGACACAGGGTGCTGGCATGGTGACCTCTCAGCTCTCATAGCCAGGCCACACCTTGTACTTAAGTTAGTTCTGTTCCATCTCCTTTGAGTCTTCCTGTGCTACACAGCCACTCATTTTGTACTCACTTGGTAAAGGAATTGTCTTGCTTCAGGTATTTTAATAAACCACCAAGACCTAAGGGGCAGAAGGCACAGGGGAACTGGTACTCCTGTGCTCACAGCAGTAGCAATTACACAGTGGCCTTGTGCTTCAAGCAGGTACCTGTGCTTCTCTCCCCCACACCCTCCCAGAAGAAGCTGGGGAGAAAATGAGAGGCTTTTGGTTGCACTCATGATCCCTGTATCCATCTGTGACTGAGGGACCAAAGTGAAATGCATTACAGAGCCAGCTTGCCTTGTGCTGCACTCTGGCAACTCCTTCTGGCTGTGGTGTAAGTGCTTTCACAAATGTGCTGGGTTGCATTATCATCTGTAAGTCTGACTCACTTGACCACTGCTGCAATGCTTCCCAGTCCCACCAGCTGAGCTGCAGCACTCTGTGTCCCAGCCTGCTGTGCAAAGGTAGCTGTCCCAAGTGGGTTGAAAAGATCCTAAGAAGCAGTTCTTACTGTGTTGGGCCCTGCTGGAAAGGTCATTTACTCACACACCAACACACCCACCAAATATCCTCAAAAAAAACCCCAAAACTTCCCAAAAACAACCCCAAAAGTCTCTTCTAGCTTTGCTGTATTTTAACTCAGGCCTGCTCTCCATAACAGGAAACTATCTACAAAACATGGTTATGGAGATCTGCCGAGTTAGCTTCTAACCCAGAGAGACTGCTGGCTATTTAGATTAGGGCTACAGGATGGAGGCATCTCCTGCCTTGGCACAGCAAAATGAAGATACCAAATACATTTTTTTACAGGAACTTCTTTCTCCATTAAAGCTGCATAACATTGGAGCCCATCTGAATATTCTCCATCGCTTGAAGATAATATGCAGGGAAATGTTTGCATTTCTTCTGAAATAGGATGGGAAGTGAACCAGACACTACTTAGGACATATTAAACTCTTTAACAACCAAGGAATGCAAACTCTTCCCCAGGAACTGGGACACAAACACCTGTCTAGGTTTAACCCTTAAAAGGCTTGTACCATCCTAAGTTGGGAAGATCAGGTCTCTTGAGCCCTTCAAACAAGGGCAGGAATCACAGTCATCTCTTTCCAGTTGCTCTGATCTGCTGTGCATCACTAGTGCTATCACATTGACACAGCTGAGGAGCATTTCCAGCTATGCAATGAGCTGGGATTGCACAGAAGTATAACGTAGTATAGTCCCCCCAATGCACTTTGAAGTAGGAAATGATGCTTCAGCAACTGCTTAGGTCTTTGAATGCTCACAGTCTCTTACAAAAAGGTCTGGGGATGTGGAAGGTGAGACATGAACTAGGAAGTGGGTTCTGGGTCGGTGCTCTTTATGCTGCTCATTTGTAATACAGGATTCACAGAGTCAGCGTCATACAGCTGTCCTTCATGGGGCAAAAGATGATGGAGCTTGAGCCTTGGGACACAGATGGGCCCTAGGACTTTAAAGAAAAGAGAAGCAGTAGAGGTAAGTGTATCAGTGACAGCAAATAAACCAACACCAGCAACTATGGTAAAAGCAGTTCCAGCCCCTGATTTGCATGTGTGGATAACAGAAACCATGTACCTGTCAGCTACTACAAAAGGCAGTTTTTCCCAAGTGACCAGCTCTTCTGTTTTGGGCTCGTTCTTCTCTGGGAGCAGCAGTGTCTGACCTGTAATGCAAAACAAATTTCACGGGGATCAATTAAAAGGTAAATTACCACTCTGAATTTAGGTTTCTGGGGAAACTTGGGCATTACACCTCGCAGCAAAACTGTGAAGCTACGACTGTGTTGTCCCCACAACAATCAGAACCTTGCAGTATTGCTCATGCTAAGGGGGCATTATTTTTCTCTTTGTAAGCTATGTCATCTTTTTTTTCTTTTTAACTATTATAAATATATAAAATAAAACATGCTTCACCAGAAACATGTAAGCAGCTATTAGAGGGGCAAGTAACTGAGAAAGACCCTAGAATGTAACATGTTGAGCTTTTATTGCCAATTGGAGCTAAGAAAACAGAGCTTCCACTTTGTATCCACAATCTATAATCAATCATATGGCCAAAGGCTGCTCTGTTGTTCTTGTGGCTGGGTTATGTGGAGAAGCCAGAGAGAGACAGAGGCTGTGAGAATGATGCAGGGAGTCATAGACAGTCAGTGAAATAAACAGTATCTACTTAACTATTATCTGCTCCTAAAAAAAATAACAACCTGTTAAATAAATTGTATTCCTGTGGTACAGGTCATTTCAGACAAACCAAGAAATAAAACAAAGAAATGTAAAAACAAATGCAGACAGAGTAATGTTTATTGTGTTTAGGAGCTGCTCTGTTCTGTCCCTTGGGATGCACATGGCTCCACAGAAAAGGCTGGTGGGGGGGAAGGCATGATCTGTCTGTATTGGCTGCAGGAGAGCAGGAAAACCACAGCCCTCTCACTTAGAAATGCTCATTTCATGTTTTTTCCATATAAAAGAAAAAATTCTCTGCAAGCTTCTGAGTTTTCGTGAGATGAGCTTTGCTGAGGACTTTTAAGACAGGCTCTGTTGCCAGTCTCTGCCACAGACCAGTTGATTTCTCCCCCTCACTCCTTTTCTTTCCATGTTCTACACTTCAGTGATGCAAGGAACAGGGGCAAGCGATGAAAAAATCTTGAAGTTGTTCCAGTGGAAAAAAACCCCTCTAATCATAAAATAGACCACTGGCTTAAACCCAGCAGTGACATCATGAGTGTTGTAAGCATTACAGCAGCTGCCCAGTGCTTATGAAGTAGAAGCAAGTGCTAAAGTTGTGGCATTCACATTGATCTGGTGGTCAGGCAAGAGGGAAAGCTCATAGCTGCTTGAGAAAACAGAAGGAAACGCACTTTGCTAATTGGGGCAGAGATGTGAGAAACAAGGACCCCAGGTTTTTGTTCTACCTCTGATTCTATCAGTGTACCAGACACCATCCCACCCTCTTTAAGCACCTCCATCTCCAACACAACTCAGCCAACACTGCTAATGCCCTTCTTTTAGGCAGTGGCACTCACTGGGATGATGCATCGAACCAGGCAATCAAGAGGCTGCCTAGCTTGCCCTCTGAAGAGAAGGTGAATTAGCGGTGGCCAGTGGGAAAGACCAGGGGCTAAAAGTGAGCCCAAATGAAAAAACAAAATGAGCACAGAGCTGTAGTGGGACATGAAGTATGACAACCTTCTTCTACACTGGAAACAGCTATCCCCAGCCCCACAGTCAGCAGCACCCTGCAGTTTTGGACCCAACTTAGTTCCCTTCCAAGTTCACATACACAGCTCACAGTCACACACAGCCCACCTACGTTGTGTGCATAAGTCCTTTGAATGTTGTATCCACTCACAGAAGGTTTGGATTTGGCCACCTCTGTAGAACTTTAAAATGGTCCTACTTCAGATTAAATATAGCAAAGGGATGTCAATTTTTGGCTTTTGGGGTTCTGAAAAGTTCATGTGGCACTGGAGTTGATGGTGTCAAGAGATTGGTAAGGATGGCTAGTGGACTACAGAGAGTTTGAGCCCCACTCTTCAAACACCTTTTAAGGGCTTTTATAACATTCCTTGGTCCCTTTAAAGTTGTGGATGCCTTACTGGCATTTCCTGGGTGTCCTTCTTTGTCTAGGTTTTTTTGAGGCTTTCCTTGCTTTGCTTATAGTGTTCACTCACACTGGAATTAAAGAAAAAAAGAGAAGGGGATTATCTTCATAGTAAGCCCATGTAGCATTGAGAGAAACTGAGGCCAACCCTGATATTTCCTCTTACAGATGAACTTCACAGGAAATACTAGGAAAATACTCTAATTTCTCTGATTAGCTGGAGAGGAAAACAGGTTTCTTTACTAATCAATGTCAAGTTCTCTAAACACATTTCTCTCACCAAAAGTTAAAGGCATGCTTAACTGCTGGGATATGTTCTTAAATTTCAAACGTTAAAACAAGGGTGAAGTAGTTTTTTGTGGCTACCTACACACAAAGTAAAAGGAAAACCAGCAAGAGAACTGTCCCTTCCAATTCAGGCCATTCTATGATTCTATGATGATTTTTCTCTTTCAGGCCAAGGTATGACACAGAAAATAAAAGCAAACATTGATTGAGGTACAGAAAACTTTAGTGTTCAACTTGCAGTAATGGAAAGCTGGAGAGCTTGCACTGTGTGCCTGGCTTTCTTTGGAAAGACATTTTCTCCCATTGCAGCATTTTTGAAATGACACCATAGGAAAAGTGGAACACCTGCACCTGGGGAGCAGGAGGACTAACCTAGCAGTGTGCTGAGAGCAGCAGCATCCAAATAATCATAAGTAGAGGTGAAGTCACAGGAAAGATCAGAACTGGCTAGAGTGTCAAAGCATCTTTTGCAGGAAAAACAGAAGAAAGAAAACAGCTACCAATGACATATCACAGATTTGCTGAAGACTTCAGTGCTTGACAGTTATTCATAAATATGAGTCACATGCCTACTGCAACCATCTCTTGGAAGCACACACAGCACATGCAGAAACATCTATGTTGGTTCAGACCACAGACCCTCTCTGCTAACACAGCCAGCAGCAGATGACCAAGGAAGAATGTTAGAACATGGCAAAGAGGTATAAATAAGTCTCTCAATTTAAGGATACAAGTCTCCAAACAATTTAAGGATCAAAAATCCTGCTCAATTTTCTTTACCACTCACAATCTTCTAGGTGTGTTGATTTTACCCACAGTAATTTCTTTTCAGGGAGGAAGTATGACAGCCAGCCTTACCCCTTCCCTGGGTACACTCAGCACCAATTAAGCTTGGAAAATGTGACAATGAGAAAGGCAAATGGCTGCCTTCTATCACTTGATCTTGATGCTTTAAAGACAAGTACAAAAATCTAATCCCAATCTGAAATACACAGACATACAGAGACCCCTCTTGCTGTAGCTAGCTACACACAAATGTACACACCCGTTGCATTATTTAGTTATGTTTTCATTCACAGCACTACTGGAGCTTGCAATTGCCTTCAAAGTAACTTAGAAACAAGATTAGCCTATTTAAATCACATTTTCCTAATAATAAAAATAACAGATTGAATTCCTTCCTCCTTTATATGGATGCAGTCTTTTCCTCAATCTTTTTTTATCCACCTGAAAAACAGAGGAAACTAATAAGGCACTTCTTCTGATGTAATCCTTTTATTATAATACAAATGAATGTTTTAAATCCTGGATATTTTAAGGCATTCCTTGACATATTGAACAAAATAATTTTTTAATGTATTTCTTCCTATTGCACAGTACAAAGTTAATTTCTGTTTAGGAATCCCAGCTTCCTTCATTCAGAAATACCAACCTCTTACTTCTTTAAGTGCTTAAAATCAGCACATTGCCCATTCTATAAAAAGGTTCAGAAACAAGTTAATTATTCTGATGAATGAAATTGTTATACTTTTTTCCCTCTGATTTTAAGAAACTGGCATAATATTTTCAATAAGCTTTATCATATATCCCTGATGTAACTGTAATTGTTAAATTATAAAAAGCAGGGCAGCGATCAGATAAAGAGAAGCCAGGACAGTGTAAACTCAAATCA